CTAACAGCAAAGTCCAGGCTGAAAACTTTAAATCCGTGCAGAAGTGCTCAGCTGCTAATAGGAGACCTACCTTGGGGTTTTTTTAGTTATAAAGACCAAAGAGGATGGCAAGGAGGAGGAACAAGCCGTCCCCGCTGCCGAATGCTGCCTTTGTATGCACAGTGACCGCGTTGGACTGAGCTGTTACTATTTAAGGAGCCACCAACAGTCTTAGGATTGAATGAGACTGAAAGAGTGAACCCAACACCAATTCTGATCAATAATTAATCTGAGCATGGCACGTCTGTTCTTTCATGAACGGACCGAGCATTCTCATAGAGCTTGCACAGGATTTTTAAATCAAGAAGAAATCTGGGAAGCAGTTTGAACTGTCCAGATAATTAAACCTGTGAGATTTTTGTCTCTTTCGAAATCAGTGGGATTTAAGCTTTATTGGACTTTTGGTTGAACGGCTATAGGATCCCAGATTAAATTGCTTTGGAAAAAGCCATTCAGTTTAGTAATCAACTCGGCCCTCTGGCTCATGTTTAGACTTGAGGCAGACAAAGAGAAGACAAAAGGAAGGAGAAGCAGCTCAATACCATCAATGTCTCAAAGATTACTCATAAATTACAATCTACCTCTCAAAAAAAAAAAAAAAATCACAAAAGGAGTAGACAGCAATTCAGGTATAATTTAGGCTGCCAGAAACAAAAAACTGATCTATTGCCTTCATCCATTTACATCTTCCTCCACCGTCGCCCTAGCCCTCCATAATTATTTAGCTCTAATTGGCAATTAAGGAATTCACCAATACACTAATTTATGTCTAAATGAACAAAGGCACGGAAAGCGTAACTACAAAACACAGCTTTGGATCCTCCCTGCAGCAGAGCTGATCTGCTCTTCATTATTTTCAAACTGTAACGTGTTAGTAGCGCATTTTTTTCTTTTAATAAATCCAACTGTCGAAGATCCCGAGGCGTCTCTGGTCCTGATTAAGTGCTTGAAAAATAAACTTGTCCCAAATCCAGAATATTGTTAGCCTTCCCCTGTAGACCTATGAATTTTCCCACTTTCCTTATTACGGCAACATCTCACCAATTCACACCCGTCGCCGGCAGAACTGCTGCCAGCGAAGCCGGATGGCAAACGAGAGTCAGATGAGGGAGCGCGTCCTAAACAGGATCCATCAGGACTTGAGGACTAATTGCAGGCAGGTAGAGCCCACCT